AAGGGCTGCGACTGTGTGTGCTGGAACAGTTAGAGATATTAAAAAGTAATAATAGTACCGTTGCACTGCTGAATGAACAAACAAATTTTACTAACTCACCTCTCTTAAATATCTTTAAGCCTGCTCTCTAATAATAGAGAGCCTCGCAATATGGTCGTTTGTTACCCTCACGGTGATCGGCGATTGGTTGCGTGGTTGGAGGGTAGGCGGCTGTTGCGCGGCGGCCTGTTTTAATTTTACAAACGGTTGCGTAAGTCCGGCGGTGATTGGTCGCATGTTTTATCGCATGATGCGGTCGCTCGCTCCTTAAGTAGAAAGCCGTTGCGTCATCGGTCTGTATAAAAGGCAGTTGTTTTGGCTCGCCGCTCACTTAGCGGTTAGCCCCTGTTGAGTCTATATCACCTAAGGATGCCTCGTGTAGAGGCGAAACACGTGTCGTATTGTCGTCAGTGGTGTGTCTTGCCTAGTGTAGTGGTGTTAGGAGTAGTGGTTCTGGGATTAGTGGTGACGGGCATAGTGCACGCAATTGAGGGAGGGCGGGAGGTGCTCTTCACATTAGGTAAGACACATCATTTTATTTTATAACGCGGATATTTGCGAAGTAAATTTTTCTAAAAGCTTTTATATAATAGATTTCCGCAAAGTAACGCCTGATTCTATTAATTATATCCTCAATTTCAGGTCACTCCCCTTATTACCTCAGCCAGTATCGGAATCTTCGGCGTTGACATATCGAATAACGTGCAGTTTGTGGTCACTGAAGACTGTTTTGAGTAGTAAATCTCAAATAAATAATTTTAATTACCATCAATATCTTCAATTATCCTTTTCTTTGTCCTCTTGACAATTATTTAGCTGTTTTGTCCCCAGATTCAGGATTAATAAAACCTTCATGTTTTAGATAAAAACGAAAAAAAAAAACTTAATACTTATAAAATATGCTTAATACTGTTAAGAAAAATATATTCAATTATGTTTTTCTATATTATACGAATAATTTAATGCTTTTATTAAAACTTCTTTCTTTTATTTAAACGGTAGTTGTCCAAGAGACTAGATAATACTCGTATTTAACTCAGAACTACAACACAACTAGACTGTTTATTTTAATTTTTAACGTTTATTTTAGCAGTTATAAATTATAACCTATGGTTGTCCAAGTGACCGATTTTCTACCTAGTCATCAGGTATTTTTGTTAAAAATCCAATTTTAGTCTTAAAAAGTGCGCTCCTGGATGTGAAATTTAAAAATCTGATAAATTTTCTATCTTCCAATAAAGTTAAAATTGACTGTTAGAAAATGCCACACAGGACTTACACCTGTAAGGCTAAATTTACGAGTAAATAAGAAAAGGGACCGCAATAGACACAGCAGAGAACCTTAGTAATGAATGTACTTACCTACATTTTTAATATTCATTTTCACTGTAATTTAAACCTGCAATTTCATGTGATGAGCTCGCTGATAATAAGTGAAATGAACTAAGAACAAGAATAGTTTAAACAAAGAGATTTACATATATAGGTATACTATAGAGCGGACATAATGAATATTTGCATACAAAAATTTTGAGCTCGTACACGTGTGTGACGCACTCTAGCTAAACATAGCAAAACAACGCTGAATATTTATTATGAAAACATTTCAGCTATTTCCCAGTAGGTGCGCTAATAAATGTAAGGTAAGAACCCGTTTTAGGAATGTTACCGTTTCGACATCAAAGTATCGATAATTTTGTTGAAGGTTACTTATCTAGTAATGTTTTACGATATAATAATAGGGAATATGAATGCTTTTTTACTGTAAAAATCTATTTATTATGACTCCTATCACACCAAAAAAATCATATAAACTTTGTAAGTCATGAACAACGTCATGAATGAAATGAAACGTTATGATATAAAATATTTAATTTCCAATAACTAAGAATCAATTCAAACAGCAGTCACATTGGTGGCATCTTGGATGATGTCACTAAGTCCGTTAGACGCTATAATAATAGCATATGATTGATCGGTCGGCATCGAAGGCACATCGCGAAACGTCAAATCTAATAAGAGAGCGCCACCATATTTCTCAAATTCGTTTCTTTTACAAAAATACACTTTAAATCTAATATATTTTAGGAAGGCACTGAATTTAAAAGTCGTTACACGATGAATTATTTCACGAATTCACAAGTTTGCGCGTTTACCGCTAAAAAGAAGACTTTTGTCGTATCTCCTCGATTTCAGAGCACTTCCTTTGTTGCCGCAGACAAAAGCGTCGACATATGGAATGACCTGCATTAGCATGGTCACTTGGAAGAGAAACCTAAATTGACTTTTAAAAAGCTTGGCGTACTCAGTAGGGCGGGACAGTATTTCGTGCTTGCACACTGTTTGCAACTTTACAAGTGCAGGTTCGACCTCACATGGAATATTGTTCTCATCTTTGGGCCGGGGCTCCCCAGGGCGAGCTCCTTCCACTTGAACGCATAGAGTGCACTGCGGCTCAACGTCGACGACCGAGTTGTTTTTGCTTGGCTCGATTCACTGGCGCTGCGTAGAGATGTTGCATCCCTTTGCATTTTCTATAGTATTTACCACGGGGAGTGCTCTTCGGAATTGTTCGGATTAATTCCAGCCACCGCGACAAAACTTACGTTACCATCCACATCATTTGGATGCTTGGCGGTCCACTACAGTGCGATTTAATAAGAGTTTTCTTAGGAATCGTTTACCATCGGCGATTTTTATGGTCCGATACGACTTAAGGACCTTCATGAAACGAGCTTACTCTTTTTCAAAAGGCCGTCAACACATCTGCAATTCTCCTAGTGTTGTAGAATTATATTAGAATTTTAAAAAGAAGGCTATCTTGTTGATCGGTTGTACTGGTTGTTCTGGCTGACATAGACATTTCACGTTAAAACCTCGACATAGGCCCACCCGATTTCTTTATTGGTATGGATACAGTATCGTTTACTGTTTCACCTCCTTAAATATTGTAGGTGATTAAATCTGCATTCTGTATAAGATTTTTTGTCGATAACACCAATCGATCGACGTTGTAAATCACTAACTCATTTGGTGCGTTACTAAATAACAGAGGGCGCTTATTACAATGATGATAAGTGTTCTAGAACAATCTACCAGAAATAATAAAATTTAAAAATTATGGGGTAAAAATATACATTATACTTGCGATAATAAACCAAAATCACATTCAGATTTTGCTATATATCAGGACTTACAATACTTTAATGAACCATCGGGTATATTTTCTTACAAGAATATTTTTTTTAATTTAGGAACTGAATGCGTTTTTATCTTTTGACGATGTCACTAAGATTAAATGACACAAATCCGAAATATATCCTATAGTACATAAGTAAGAGGTGACCATTTTGTTGCTGATGTCCGGTCTATTACTACTACTATTTAAATGTCTTTGAGATTAAATAATTTGCGACGCAGAACTAGTAAAGCACAAGAGCTTTAACTTTTACGAAGTAACCAATGCTATAAATACAGAATCAATATATTAAGAAATATATAAAATTATCAGAAGTTTTAAATTAAAACATATGTTTTAATATCATGCGCTATTTACGAAAATTAATAATCTGACGTCATTTTCAATAAGATATCAAATCACCAATGCAGACATAATGAAATAAATAAAATATATTTTATTCGATGAAACTTAAAACCATAGAGTTTTTTAAAGCCTTACTCGGAGTAGCAAACACAACCTCTTTTTTAATATTTTATCTTTTTAGAGGGTTTCAACAATCTGTACTCATAACACTGTATTAAAACCCTACATACAACATCGCACATTGCGATAAAATTCACGATACCATCTACACCATATTAAAGATGACATGATCACCACCAGAGAATTTTCCGCGGCCAATACTACTTAGACCTTTAAGAAACGGCCTAATCCTTTTTAAAGGGCCGCCAACGCAGCCCCTGGTGTTGCAGTTGATCATGGTTGGTGCTCGTCACTGACAGTCATGGGTTTCCCCTATTGTAGGAACGATTTGCCACTCTCAGTACACATCTAACTTGTAACACTGCTCCCGTCACCCGTAACATTTATGTTTATATAAGCTGTCGTTTAAGCATGAACGAGTTGTCAGAGTTAGTGTTTTTTTTAGGATACGTAGTATCATTGATGGAAAAGTTATATTACATTTAATTACATTACAATAAGTTAAGATAAAGCCACTTAATAACTGTTATCAGCATTTTGGAATACATCTGACTGCCTGCGTCGACTGCCTTGTTGGTTTAGTGGTCATTAGCGCGACTAGATTCGAACCCCGGGTCGACCCTAAATCAATTATTGGGTTTTTCTGTCAATAAATTCTTCGGTATATATTAAGATACCGTACGGATTATCGAAGACGGACGGGATACCGATAAATTGTAAGAATATCCACTACCTAGACTGTACACGCTACGGTATATATACTTCATCCACTACATATAAATCCACTACCCCATATATATGTATATCTTAATTGAAAATTTTCAACGATTATGTTGGCCTAAGTGAGTCGGTAACACAAATAAAAATTTTACATTATTCATTCTTACTGTTGTTACAGTAAAACAAAACGCATAAGCTGTCAGTTATTTACTGAACTTGTGTCAAAAATTAATTTATAGGTAGCGGTAGAGCCAAGCTGCGGCTATATTTATAGTATAGTTGCAGCACGAATGGGTCGGCTCGACCGGGGAAGGACCACGCTCTCACAGAATACCAGCGTAAAATAGCAGCTTAATGTTGCTATGTTTCGTATGGTGAATGTAGAGAACCGGAGACCCTTTTTACTGGAAAAGAGGCATTCCATCTTAGTCCTCAAGGCTGACAACGCATCTGCATTTTGATTCGCAAACGAAGATAGATGTAGATGTCTATGGGCCTCACTTACCACTTACCATCAGGTGGACTGTGTGCTCGTTTGTCACCCTATTTCTATAAAAAAAATAAAAAACAAACTTACCACGTAAATAAACACATCCAATACAGCAGCAGCATCTTTAAGGTACGCCTTAGGTGTAAAAAACAAGCCGTCAGCTAATATTTTAAGCGCGAGTTCAAGACTCATAAATATAACGAAGCCATATTCCGCGATCTAAAAAGGAAATCACTGAATAAAGAGTGTTCTGTCCATTAACATTTTCCAGCTTGGGTTCGTAGGAAAGATAAATTACCTGAAGTACGAAGTTCTCCATAACTCTATATGTTGGCGTTTCAAACATCATCGATAAACAGGATAGAGTAGTCACCATGATCATTACCCAGTCCAAGTAGGTAACCAGACCCAGGAAATTACTGTTAACAAAACAGTTCGTCATGCACACACGTTTTCTTGAGGATACATCAAATGATCTTTATTTTAATCAAAGACTTTTCTATGTATACTACTAGAGAGGCTTTACGGCTTAATATTCATAAGTAACAGAAACAGAAACAGAAACTTTTTTATTCAATATAGATTATAAATAATACTTATTGAAAGTCACTCTTTTGTTTGATTACCACTGGTTCGGAAAAAAACCTCTGTCCTGGGAAGAACCAGCAAGAAACCCAGCGGGACTTTTTTTTAAATAACAGCTTACAATCATGATGTTACACAAATTAACAACACAACAAATTAGAAAAAGCTTGGTAGCGATCACCTCATTCCCAGGGGTTATTATCATCCATAAATTCCTTAATATTATAATAACCCTTTATTTTATTATTGTCAATTCTCTGTAACTCCTTTAGTCGACTGCGGGCGGGCGAGAAATCTAGATATTTTTTTTTGTTTTCAATACACTTCAAAAAGGAAGAGAGGTTTACAATTCGTCGGAATTTTTTTTTTTATATATGTTCACCGATTACTCGAAGACGTCTGGTCTGAACCGATTTGGAAAATTTTTTTTTTGTTTCAAAAGGTATATACTTCCCAGGTGGTCCCATTTAAATTTTAAAGAAATTAGTCACACGGCTTAAAAAAAATCCACAAAAAATTATATTTATATTGAAGTCGGTTGTACAATTTTTTTAATTTACAGTCATTTACAATCATATAGACATAGTTATTTATATGCGCACTTTGTTAACTTGATTTGAAGTTAATTTTACATAAGTATACAAACTTATATGAAATAGCTGTTCGCGTGTTAGGGTTTTTATGTTTTTGCGCGGAACCCGAAATCTTTTTCTAAAATAAAAGTAGTCTAAGTTACTCCTTATGATATGAGCTATCGGCCAGTGAAAGTCCCGTCAAAACAGGTCCAGCCGTTTCGGAGATTAGACGGAACAAACACACTAACAGACAGACAGACAAAAATTTTAAAAATTGTATTTTAGTTATAAGTACCGTATTTACTTTCATATGCATTTAGTAAAAAATCTGTAATTTTGACATTACAAACGAACACTTCAATTTTATTTATTTGTATAGATTTAGAACTACAATAACAACAACAATTAAGTTATAACTTAATTTCCTATTTGGCTAAAACTGTTGTAAATTAAAATACAACTATGTGGCATATTTACCGTGGCAAGTCAACAACCCGCAGCACCACGATCCATAGCCTAGTTTTTGTTCTGAAATGTCGGTCTAGTAGAGTATACACAGAAGTCTTTGATTTTATTAGGTTTACCTATATTTACTAAGCTTACTAGTGCGTTACTGAGCGCAGAATTCATACTCTTGCTCAACTTATGCTGCTCCTCATTTCTAGTCTAAACGTTTTGGGTTCAACATATTTGTTACTTATAGACAAGTCCTTTACTGGATATGGATATATCTTTTATAGCTTATTGCCATAATTGCCTCTTCGGCATCGCAATGTCATTAAACATTACATATTTTTACATTACACGCAACATGTTACATTTAACATTTTTGCGTTGTTTTCTGTCGCCAGTCTGGTTACTTTACTAAAACTGGGTCCATCCATTAGAGGCCACCAGATCATCTGTCCAATTTTTTTTAAGACGCCTCTTATGACACCCGCGGGAAGAGATGAAGTGACGGGTTCCCTAATGCCACCATTATAGGACAACACAGTTACCCATTTTAATATAATTATGAAATTATTAAAGATATCTCTACATCATTAAAGTGACTAACGACTATAGAGTACGGTTAGTGGCTACTGCAGTCCAATTTCACCTACAAATAACTTCGATTCCTATATAATGAAGGCATCCCTGACTTTTTCTGTCACCAGGGCGGCGTCACTTAAGGTGACACTAGTCGACAATATTTCCATTGATTTCCATACAAATTTCGGAGGGGTTTTACTACGCTGTTTGACAGTGTACATCCAAAGTTAAACATGATATCGTTTTGTCTCATTATCAAATTTGTCTGTACGGAAACAGAATAGTAAAATAAAATGTTATTAAAAAGTTACGAGCTACCAAAGATTCGTTTTTATTGCCAATTTTAACACAACTTTGGGCGTAAATTAGTAATAAAAGAAGTGTGAAATTTCCAAAACAAAGTCGGTACCGACACAGCTCAATTATCGAAGAATTCAAGAAATTTTATTCGTAATTAATTTATGCAGTGGTTTTTTCATAAAACCCCTTCTTCCAAAGGCCTTTTCGTATTTTTTTACGCGCGTATGTTACTATGAATTATCGTGCATCTCACTGAATAATGTTTGCCCCGGTGCGGTGCGGGAGGACGACGCTTACACACACATGCACGGGCGGTGACGCGGGCTTATTCGAGTTTTATTCGAAACGAAAAGTTTTGCTATTTTGTAATTTGGACGCCAAAGACAAAAGACAGCATGGAAATTGATATAATTGAAAGAGATGATGCGTTTTGGACGACAGACAATTTTGTTTTTTATTTCAATTTTCGTCTGTAATATAATATAATTATAAAAGAAAAAAAATTAAGTCTATAATATACGATTACTATATAAAATTGCAACAATTTCATTGGTGCCGACGGGGATCGAACCCGGGTTGCTCGCGTAGTGTGATACTTACGGCGAACGATAACCATCTGAGCTACCACGGCTCTCAATGCAAGTGTTATAAATAAATAAAGAATTACAAAACAGTTTAATTATTTATTAGACGACTCTTGCGGCGGACAAACAAGGTATATTATGTGGGATTTTCATAGGTACCTACTGTTATTACCTAGATACCTACAACCTACAATACAACAAAATGTCACAAAACGTCACCGCGTCGTGGCCACAAAATTGTAAACTTTAGGTAGGTACGTCAGTACTAAGAAAACAATCTTGATGGGTCACTTGTCTTGATAAAAACCTGTGTTTACGTTTAGTGATATTGAGTATATATAAAAAAAAGTAAGAAGACAGGTAAGTATTTTTGAAAAAAATTTATAGGTAAGCAGAACTAATTACAATTATTATCTAAATATTATAAATGCGAAAGTTTGGATATTTGGATGGACGAATGAAAGGATGTATGTTATTCAATCACGCCAGAACCGCTGAAGGGACCTGGATGATATTTTGCTCAGAGATAGGTTATAGTCTGGAATTTTATTTTATTTTATTTTTTAAAAATACATTACCCCCGCACTAGCATTTTCTCCTGTATAGTGGAAGCAGTTTACAAACATCCAGACCCGGAACAACTATTTGTAGGCCATACAAATTTTTTTTTTCTTATTTAAAAAACGTTACACCCACACTAGGAGTTTCTCCTGTATCGTGGAGGCAGTTTACAAACATAAATTGCACAAGGACAAACATCCAGACCCGGAAGAATTATTTGTAGGCCATACAAATACTTGTTCCGTGCGGGATTCGAACCCGCGGCTCCCAGTAATATAAAATATTTCGTTCCCGTGGGATAATTTTTGCAGTTACACACGTTCGAAGCCGAACTCTTGAGTGATCGCTGCATAACCACTCGGAAAAACTAAACATAATAAAATAAGCAATCTATATTAGGTATATAGAGCCACAGAGGTATAATATGAAGCGATAAAGCAGCGCCTAATCATTTCGCGGTTTCACCCGCGTCATCATGTGTCCGAGATGCATGGCATGACATGACACCTAGTTTTATAATTGCAATCAAATATTTTATTTGATAATAATGTATGGAAAAATTGTCATAATTAATGAAGTACTTTTATTTTATCTGTCGGCATACTATGCGCGGTTTTATTCAGTTTTAAAGAAAAACGTACACGATACATGAAAAGTGTGTAGGCAAGAAATGATTCTTGATACATTTGCTATCAACCTCTTATACTCTTATACGGCTCCGTGGCGCAGTGTCTTAGCAATGAGTTGCTGAGCAGGGGGCCGCGGGTTCGAATCCCGCACGGATCAAGTATTTGTATTTGTATGGCCTACAAATAATTGTTCCGGGTCTGGATGTTTGTCCTTGTGCAATTTGTGTTTGTAAACTGCCTCCACGATACACGAGAAAATCCTAGTGTGGGGGTAACGTCTTTTTTTTAAAGAAATAAATAAAATAAAAACTTATTAATCAATTAAACTTTCAAAATACCATAGCAACGTGAAATGAAAGAGTTCAGAATTAACTAATCATTGTTACGCTCACCTGGGAGATAGATAAAAGCACTCAATTAATTTTGAATTTATTTTAGCTACCAGCTGTTCCCCGCGACTTCGTCCGCATTTAGTTTAGGGTTTTGTTGCACGGACGCCTAATAATTTTTCTAAAATTTAAGCATTCTAAGTTACTACTTATAACATGAGCTATCTACTAGTGAAAGTCCCGTCAAAATCGGTCCAGCCGTTTTGGAAATTAACCGGAACAAACAGACAGACAGACAGAAAAATGTTAAAAATTGTGTTATAAGTAGCGTATATAATTTCATATGCAATTAGTAAAAAGCTGTTATTTTGACATTATAACAGACACTTCAATTTTATTTATTTGTGTAGATATAGATAATGATTGAACTAACGGCTAACCTAACCTCGCTCATAGAAGCTTTCAATACTGGCTTCTCAGTTCGCACCGGGCTAGGGGTTATGCGTTGTTTGCGCGTCAAGGCCAAGTATTGAATTATTTTAATTTTACATTATCTCAACTATGTACTATATAAACATGGCATAAACAACGAAGTTTATCTTCAAAAAATTGTCTTGATAATGAAGTAACTTTCGTTCGTAAGGATAAATATGCCATGCCTAATAATTAAATTTTCATTTTTTTTTTGTCAAAATAAAAATGCCTAATTGTGGCTTATACGAGTATATAAAAAATAGACATATGGTATCGCGGACTTTTTTTTAGACGGAGTAAAGATCTATATTTTCTGCTTTATTATATTAGTATAAATGTTGCATCGTGTTCGTGTAACTTCGTTTTTGTTCAAACGGTTCTGAATGCCGTACGAACAAGACGTGCGTGAATACTAGTGTCGATATGCTCATCACTGATACTATCTCTGTCGGGCACGATGCCAGGTGAGACAGCGTGCTTTTTGGCCGCGCCCACCAGCGAGTTCGAGCCCGCGACTTGTGCCACCTTAAGGCGCAGGTTGAGCAAAATGTCGCGCTAGTCGTTATTTGGGCGGTTTTTAGGAGCTATCTACTTTTTATTTAAAAGATATATCAACAAATAAAAAACACATTATATTTCTACATAATCTTGATTCCATAAAAGCTATATCCAATTTTTTTTAAAAGGAATAAATATTAATATAATCTCCTTACAACGAAACCACATAAATGTGAAATTATTATTGATAACATGCATCTCCTCGTAAAGTAAGTATTATTTTATTTTGCGATTTACACCAATGGATAGGCAATTTATTAATAAACATTTCTATAGTAATTTTTTTTTCAAAAGACCAAAATTTGATTTTATTAAGAAATTATTTTAAAATCTGGGCATATTTACTGCTCACGGGCTTGCTGAAGTCAGTGAGCGCTGAGCTCTTCGACGTGAAGCCCGTGTCGTTAGAGCGTCGACCAACGCATACGCCACGTCATATGAGTCGATAATATTATTACTTATTAGGTTATTTATAGGTAGTATTATTTGTTTGTTTTGGGTATAATTTTTCGTATTAGTTATACATATATTTGTTGTGTTTTTTACTGCACGATGAAGATTTTTGCGTGTATTTTCTTTGAAGTAAATGCAAATAAAAAAATGAAGCACCATTAGCATGTAAGGTTCGAATCCATAATTAAAATTTCGACAAATATTATAATTTACTCTATAAAAGGCTAATTCAATATTATCACCCAACCACAATATCTTATCAGGTATAGTACTGCCTCGTTGGTCTAGTGGTTGTAGTAGTGCGACTGCTGATCATGAGGTCCCGGGTTCGAATCCTGGGTCGGGCCAAAAAGTCAGTTATGAGTTTTTCATTTATGTTCTAAGTTATAATTAGTATTACTAAGTTATAGTTTTTTGCTAAAATATAGTATATTATTTATTGCTTGTTTTTTCTTCTTTTTCAAAAAATAATTGAGTACATAAGGTGTTCTATACTTATAACTCGGTAAAAAGTACTAATATACCTACTTTTTACTATAAACTAAAAAAATTTAAAACTAAATTTAACTAAAAAGACTAATCTGACCATTTATTTTTTAACTCATAACAGGACATGGGTTTATTTATACTCTAAAAACTATAACTTTATACGATTAGTGTTCACTATAAAATTATATTCGGTATAGACGGTAATTATTAAATGCAACATATTTTTTTTTAATTATTAATTACATTTGTCAGTGGATTAAATTTGCTTTAACAAAGTTGGTGATGATTTTAAATAAGAATAAAATTCTGCTCAAGTTTTTTATTGTTATCTTTGTTAACAACATCGCCTTTAGAACTCTGGAACCGTAAGTGTTTCTTTCAGACGTCCACAATTTATGCAAAATAAAAAAATACTCTTTCTACCGGAGCATTCGTACCAGGTAGACATAAAATATATTCGATTAAAAAAAATTATGTTGAAGATTGTTGACTTTGAATACTTCCATCCAACGAGTTACGGGACAATTTTGTGTCCCGGAGCTTTGTTTGGGGACAATGGGACAGGAGACCGAGAAAAGGGCCAGTCCCGTTCAAAACGGGACGTATGGTCACTTTAGCTATAACCCGGCGACCATGAAGCAAATACAAAGTTAGTCTTTGTATTAGCTTCATGGTGGCGCAGTGGCTTAGCAATCAGTTGTTGCGCTGGGGGCCGCGGGTTCGAATCCCGCATGGAAGAAGATTTGTATGGCCTACAAATAATTGTTCCGGGTCTGGATGTTTGTCTTTGTGCAATTTATGTTTGTAAACTGCCTCCACGACACAGGAGAAAATCCTAGTATGGGTGTAACGTTTTTTTACAACTGAAATTGAAAGATTGAACCCTTATACTTCTTGTTGATTTTTGTATTTATATATTTTTTATTGCACCAAATATTTGTACAAAAGCCGAGTTATCTATTTATTTACTTATAGTGAATAGGTATCTTTTAAACTCACAATTTTCAATGCTTCCGTTTTAATATATAATTAATTATAAAATTTCATAATTAGATAATATATGAAAATACATAATTCTAATATAATGCAACTAATATATACAGAATAAAAAAATTAAAATACATTTATCTTTGTACGCTATGTGTATTTCCATAAAATAGTTTATTGATGTTGAAAAAATAATACTACTTTCGTACAATAGGTGGCGTCTTACATATTTCTTCCGGCGAGCCGCTCGCTACAATATATTAATATTGTAGCGAACGGCGCGCCGGTCAAATGCTCAAGGTCGTTCGCATGGAGTAGCCCCTTAAGAATGAGGTGAAATATTTGACAGGTTTCATAACAGGGGAAGATAATTTGTTAAAGGTGTAGAGATATATTTTTCTTTGTGAAATATTACTTATAGTTTATATGAATTATATAAGAAATGGCTAAATTAAACAAATATAAATAGAAGAATTTAAAAAATATGTAAAAAATTAAAGAATCTTCACTCTCGAGATGTCGTTTTGTGTTATATACATACACTAGAAACAGAAAAAGCTAACAGTGGTAGAGCCACGTGGCAGCTTTTGCTGTCGCACGGATGGGCCGGCTTGAACCGGGGTGGTACCACGACCTCACAGAAAACCAGCGTGAAGTAGAGGTTTATCTCTGCGTCTCGCTTGGTGAGTGTAGGTGGCCGGAGGCCCTTTTTACTGGAAATGAGGCATTCCATCTTAGTTCTCACGGGTGACAACGCATCTACATTTTGATTTGTAACAGAGGATAGATGTAGATGTCTATGGGCCGCAGCAACCACTTACCATCAGGTGGACTGTGTGCTCGTTTGTCACCCTTATCCTATAAAAAAAAACTTTATTAAAATTTTTGATTATTTTCACTACCAGCCTGCCAAGCTTGCTCACTATGGCAAAATCTCTTCTATGAGGCAATCTATGGGGGAGACCTATGTTCAGCGGTAGAGCTACGCAGGCTGCAACGGACGGATGGCTGGATGGATGGAACAAGTGCGGTGAAGTGGTTAAGAAAGAAGGGTTGCTCACTGGAAGCTCTTGTAGTGCACCTTGCGCTCGTTGCCGGTGACGGGGTCGCGCAGGCGCGCGTCGTAGCGCGCGTCGACGAGCGCGCGGCACAGCTTGCGGAAGCGCGACTCGCGCGCCACCAGCAGCAGCGGCGTGTCGAACAGCGGGTGGTTCTCGCGCAGGTCCTCCTCGCGCTGGTTCCTACGTCGCCGCAACATTTCAATGCTCATTCTATTTATGTCACTACTTCTTATCGGACTTTGCCCTAATCCAATTGTCATTTAAGAGAGTCGTACTTTTGTAATAAGACAATAAGCCCTACTTGCCAAATATATAGACTCAAAAGTCAAAACCGAATGAATATTTTATATCATACAAAAAAGAACATTATGAATTTTAACTCATTATCTTGTTTGTATATTATTCGGAATACATAAAGTACCGGTTTTAAGCATATATGAGCACAGACACAAGTTTTCAGGCATTGTTAGCCATTTGGCTTGCACTGTTAGGCTGCAATAATGCTTAAAACTATAATAAAGTTGTAATAACTTAATTTGTTTAATTCCACGTAAAGAAAGAACATGATGTGTCCTGCTAGTTGAAGGGGAGCTTCCACCCTCCCTCAATTGCGTGCACTATGGAAGGGTGGGAGATCCCCTTCAAAGTGCATAGGACACATCATGCACATTCTTTACACGGAATTAAACAAATAAGTTATAACAACTTCATTATGGATTGGATTTGATTGGATTCAGAATGGATTTCCGCAAAGAAACGGGTGATTCTATTAGTTATCTTAAAATTATAAATTTCAGATATACCTAAGAAAAATATAAATTAATCAATCATTCATTTACACAACAATCATAATACGACGAAAAATCCGAATTTCATAGTGAAGTTTGCTACAGATATGTATTGATCATAATTAATTAAATGAACTTCACATAATATAATTCAGTTCATACTACTATAATCAATGACAAATAAACAAACAATCCACCCAATAAGATTATCAGGTGAATTGTTTGCTTATTTCCACCTGAAGTAGATACTGTATTTCATAGACACTTTACATCTACGCTCCATTAAAAACCAAAATAAAGATGGAAACTTCTGGCCATTGAGCTAAAGTGACTCGAAAATAGAGCCAAATTTAAAATTAATTTTCCAAACCAAACAAATAATACTTTTATATATTTTGTACACTTTTAATTAACTAATATTAAAAAAAATACTAATAACCATCTCTTATAGGGGTCCTCAGTCTTTAAAATTGTGCCTCGTCTCAAGAAGATATTACCACCTAAATGCGAGCATGAAACAGTGTGTGGACGACATGAAGCGTGGTACCTTCTCATCTCGGCCTGCTGCCGCTTGGCTTGCAGCAGGCGTATGTCGAGGTAGGGCGGGCGCGCGCGGGACGACGGCACGACGCGCGAGGCCGCGCCGATGTCGCCGTTCTCCAGCAAGTGCTCGTACGTCTGCTTCAGCTTTAGCGACCCACTGCGCACCGACCGCCGTATTGAACGTGAACCGAACCTACAAACAATTCCTATAAATACCTTTCTGCTATACGCCAAATGGCCGATTACTTGAAGATTTGCACAAACTCCACTCTGTTGTGCCTATGCTATGCATTTTTAAGCTTTAATTAATATTTCTACGTCTTCATTGTTATTTTTTTCCTTATTTTATGTTATATAATATACAAATATATATTACTGAGTGAGGATTTAATGAGTGAAATATTTTTTTTTTTGTATTACATTATTACATTTAGAGAGCCGAGATAACTCAGGTGCTAAGTGCCCGGCAGTGGGCTATATAACTACATTATCATGATTGTGTTTGTATCAAAAAATCGTCACCATCAACAGTACAGTCCATCAGAAGCCCACTGCTGAATATAGGCCTCTCTCTCCGTTGAGACGGGTCTGGACTGGTAAGTGGAATACAGAAATGTAAAAATATGTTTTTTCTAGTTTTAAACACATTCATACTCATTAGAGACATTAATTTTGAATGCATTATAGAAAATCCACTAATAATTAATGGAAACAACGATGATAACGATGACATCTCAACTAGTTTAGTGAGTGATTAAATACATTTTTTAATCTAGTGCACTCTTTAACTTGTATAACTTTATCTTTAGAAATTAACAGCAAGCAAAAAATATAAAGAAACTGATAATATTATGTTTTGAGTTATCAGTTTCTAATTTAATTCTGGTATAACTAAAGAATCGATATCGATTTATCTCGAATATTATATATATCCAGGAATGCCTAGGGTAATAAATATGACAGCTGTCAAAAGGTATATCTTAGGTTTGGTAGAGTATGAACTAAAAATAGCTGTGGGTGCGATACTAACTGAAACACCGTTATACTCTTCTTAAATGATTTTTAATAAAGACTAATGATTGATAGCTTAAAACTTGTTGCAATTTAGACCTCACTTTATTTATTATTTTCAATTTGCAGAGAGATTTTAGTGAAAACTAGTTTATTGGCATTATTAATGTATCAGACGAGAGACTGTGTTTGTGGTCCCATTTGTAACATCAATTTGAAGGAATCGATTGTTCTACTTATTTAGTGTTCTCTGACTCCGGCAAGAAACATCACCAACATTTTTCTAAATTGAATAGTTCGGCTATTCAATTTAGAAAAATGTTGGTGATGTTTCTTACTAAATAATTTTATAAATAATAAAACGTCATACTTTTTCTGGTCAACTCGTAATTGTTTAGCACTGGATATAGTCCCCTGCGACTTCAGCCCCGACTTTCCGCCTGTTGCCAACATAGCAGAATCTCCGAGTACTAAGCGACGATGATTATTCGAATCACTAAAAAAAAAAAATATTTTATGTAATAAATGTTTCAAGAGTAATGAAACATATGCATAATAACTTATTTAGTTAAATAATTTTAGAAGTCCAAGATAAAACAAACAAACTAAAGATAAAAACAAATTAAAATAAGTACCTTTATAAGATTAATGATAATTCTTCCATCTGAAAGTGATAGAAAATGAAATAAAAATAATAAGTAAAATATTAAAAAAGAAACAAAATTAAAATAAAGTAAACTATATAATATCAAATTACTGGGCACTGGATTCCTTTCACTTTTGAGAAATTAATAGGTGAAAGAATCTGCCTCGCTGCTCCAGCGAGGGTTAACGCAGTTTTTATCTTTAAATATATATTTATATCTATATAACTATATTAAAATTTTGTTTAATAATATATATGTCGCAGTAAGATGGTTGAAGCTGTGATATAATGTAATAAAGCTGTGTGATTTTACGTGGTAGAGCCATGCTGCAGCTATATTAGTAGTATAGTTGTAGCACGAATGGGTCGGCTCGACCGGGGAAGGACCACGCTCTCACAAAATACCAGCGTCAAATAGCAGCTTAACACTGCTGTATTTCGTATGATGAGTGTAGAGAACCGGAGACCCCTTTTACTGGCAAAGAGGCATTCCATCTTAGTCCTCACGGGTGACAACGCATCTGCATCTTGAGTCTTTATTGAGATAGATGTAGATGTCTATGGGTCACAGTAACCACTTACCATCAGGTGGACTGTGTGCTCGTTTGTCACCCTATCCTATATAAAATATATATATATATAATTATATCCTGTATCGTACATTATAATGATATAAAATATAATGTTGAAAGAATTTAACTTTTTAATTTAAAAATAAACACATTTTAACTTTCATTTTGCTGGTAACTGTTTAATTGTTACATTTTACAATTAAACAGTGTTTGCATATAATGCATTTAATAATTGTTACACTTTTGCGGATCTGGTTCGTTATATGCAACTTATGATTGTGAAATGCCTCCACGACACATGATAAATTCCCATCACACTCACACGTCAAAACTTACTTTATGATTGAAGCAACGACATGACGACGTAACGCAGAACTAGGGCGTTGTGATGGTGGAGCCACCACAAGAGTTTTTACAAGACATCGTTTTCGATAAGGAAAAGCTATCTTATCTACACCGATGTATTCTATCGCCCTCCGTGACAGATCGCCGGAGCGCGCCCCTCCAACTGCAGCGCCAGTCACTCCCGTTTCTTCCTCTCCTTCCACTTCGCATACAAACTGGCGCATAAACGATTCGCGTACCTACAGAAATGAAGTCGATATATAAAAGTGTGCATTAGTAACTACTTTTATAAATAGAATGATAATAATATGTCAACAACAAATGTTCTAACAAGTGGTAAAATTAAAAATGTTGTACAACCGACTTCAATATAAACTATTAAAAATAACTCAAAAACTGCTGGTGTAAGACCTAGATGAAAGACCTAGATCAAGTGTAATGTGTGCCCGATATTAACTAAAATTAATTTAATAGATTTTATCGCGTTTATTTTAAGCTTTTTAATTCCTGACGTTTCGGTAACCAAAACCTTCAGGTTTTAATCATCTTTGTTCGATCTACACAAAAAGAGTCTTGAATACCGGTGATGATGTGCTTGGATATGGATTTATTAAATATTTTTTCGTCACCACAAACCCCAAAACCACTACTTCCAACACAACTACTCCCAACACCAGGAAAGAACAAGACGACCGTCGATAATACGCACGTGTGTCGCTTTTAAATGCGGCATTATGTTTTCTTTTTAATTAATAATAAATAATAAACACGATAAAACCATTAATAAACCGGCATAGATCACATGAGAAGTACCAGCTTTCAAATAAAAAAAGGAAGCATCATAATCGGTTCACGTAGAAAAATAGTTATGAGGTAACACACATAAAAAGGACATACAGTCGAATTGAGTACCTCCTCATTTTTAAAGTCGGTAGAAAACTGGCTTGTCTTATTGAATTGACAATGATTAAAAATAACCCCATAATTCTTTGTATTACCTTTTAATACAATATCGTATTCAAAGTCTTAGTTCGGAAGAGCTTACTTTGGCTGGACTAACATGCATGAAACGGACAAGAAAGGGAATCCTCGCCTTAAAATCCTATTAAACAAAGTTGCAAGAGGATATCATACAAAGTAACAAGGTATTTTTACGCGCGTACTTTTTACCTTTGGCAAATTAAAATCCCCTGGAACTTTGTGCAACTTCGTCATTTGAGGGCTATCTGGGAATTTTTCAAAAATTCTTAGCCTGAATGGTAAACTTTCCTTGATTTCTGCACTTTGCTGGCGGTACCGAAGCTGCTTTAACTTTTTTATATCTTCATCCAATTCCAGATTGTCCAAAATTACTGCGACGAACAGTGACAACACTATCTGAAATTTTTATTTGGTATTCTCTAAACTGTATACGACATAAATATGAGATTATAATAACAAAATATTTCTTACCAGCGTGACAAACAAATGATACAAAATAAAATATATGGCGACCAACGGAGTCAATGTTTGACTCGTGCGTACCATTGTCTCGTCCATTACTTCCACCCATGCTTCTTGTGTTAAAATTTGGAACATAGACATAAATGCCTAAAAATTAAACAGCCTTTTAGTTTCTTAAGATTAATAAAATATGAGCTCCGATTTCCCTTTCTTTAAAAAAGCTTACATAGACACTTTTTACTGGTAACAAGGCATTCCATCTTAGTCCTTTGGGGTGATAAGGCATTTGCATTTTATTCTAAATCTAAGACAGATGTAGATGTCAATGGGCCACAGTATCTACCTACCATCAGGTGGACTGTGCCCTCCTTGATCACCCTTATATTACACGACGTAGTAGCCAGGTCAAACTTTTATGCAACGATATTAAAATGATTCGAATATAAAACGAAAAAACCTTACCTCAGGGAATGTTTCAAATTTAGTGAATTCGCAGAGGAAACAAAACAACTGCATAGAAATGGAGGAACTTATAATTAACAAGCACATGGTAAATATTATAAGGCTGCCCAACTTTTTGCCAGGCCCGAATATTTTGTAAACGAAACCTTCTAAGAGTGGGGAGGCTTTTATGAGCCTTACAATACGAAGAACCTAAAACAAAAATTAACATCAATCTTCACCGTCTGCTTTTGACATACACTTAAAAAGCAAGCATGATAAAATACTATATAACTCCATGTAAGTAAGCATCTATGTAGACGACGTGTTGTTTTAATGCTATCTATATGTACGACATAAAAAAAGATCCGGTTTATGTTGACCTTTAGAATATCTTTAAATTAAGTTTTTTATTATTTAATAATCTCAAATCAATTGAAAATATCTATTATTTAAACTTCATAATAATAATAACATAACCACTATTTTCATATCATTACCTTGTAAAATCATAATCTAAACAAATTGTACAAAGCGGATAGATACCTGGAAATAAGTAAAACCAGACATGTACAGTTGCGGAATTATATGAATAGTAGTTCCCACAGCTAGAAGTAATTCAAACTTGTGAACAGAATGTTTAAAATATCCCTTCCAACCCAAACACCATATTTTTATCAATGCTTCCAAATCCAAAAAGACAGTAAATGCAATCTGTAATAAATTAAACATTATATGAATCTCTTATATCTTTTGTTTAAATATCCTTAATATATTTTAAAGCAATAATAGAAATATCAACCTCAATATAGTAATACTTTTCATAGAAAAACTCTCTAGGGTTGTCATCGTGCTTAAAATTCATAGTAGCAGTAATAATTCCATTGGCCAATACGACTCCCATAACAATAAGACGAAAATATGCCGACCGCAACATTTTGTGGAATATTTCGGGAGCACTACCTGTAAAAAAGAGTAAATAATGACTTAGTTCCTTATTTTTTTATAGTATTTAAAAAAGCAAAATAAGCATTTAGTTTACTACTACCTGAATGTTTATTCTCATCAATGGTCACCAACTTCCAGCCATTATCATCGCCAGTGAAGAATTGCGTAGTACTTCCCTTCGTTATTGGATTTCGAACTCCCCACATTTGTTGAAATTGAACTCTTATTTCATTAAATGTTTCAGTTATCACAGCTATGAACACATTTTTGACTAACCAAGCCAAGAAAAATATCATAGTGCTGAAAACGAAAAACACTAATAAGTTTGTAGTGAGCTCGCTAAAATTAAAGTTTGTAAATCATAAAGAAAACCTATCACCGCATCTCGTCCACATATGGGTATTGAATTGTCGATTAAGAAAAATGACAGAAAAATTTTGAGGGCCTCGACTAATGGCGGATTTACTATCTGGAGCCATATCTATAACCCCGACATGGTAGATCAGAGTCAAACGGCCGTCTGATACATCATCATCATCATGGTCATTACAGCCTTTCATAAGTCCACTGCTGAACATAGGCCTCCCCCAAGGAATGCCACAAAGCACGGTCTTGAGCCGCCTGCATCCATCGCCTTCCTGCATGTCTTACCAGGTCGTCACTCCATCTCGTGGGGGGTCGCCCTACACTTCGCCTACCGGTACGAGGCTGCCTCTCAAGAACCTTTCTTCCCTATCGGTTGTCGGTTCTTCGAGCTATATGGCCGGCCCACTGCCACTTCAGCTTACTAATCCGTTGGGCTAAGTCGGTTACTCTGGTTCTACTGCGGATATCTTCATTTCTAAGTTTATCACGCAGAGAAACCCCGAGTATAGCCCTCTCCATAGCTCGCTGAGCGACCTTGAGCTTCCTCATACGGCCAGCAGTGAAGGACCACGTCTCAGATCCGTAAGTCATCACTGGCAACACGCACTGGTTGTACAATTTCGTTTTAAGGTTTTGAGGTATGTCTGACGAGAATATGTGTCGTAGCTTCCCGAACGCTGGTCAGCCGAGTTGAAATCGTCGATTGACCTCTCGGTCGAAGTTGGACTTACCTAGTCGGACTATTTGTCCCAGGTAAACATACTCGTCAAACAACTTCGAGCTTAGTGCTCCCAATAACTACCGGCATAGGTGTGACATGGACATTAAACATAATCTTTGTTTTGTCCATGTTCATCTTAAGACCTATCCGTTGGGAGACATTATTGAGGTCATTGAGCATAGTGCTTAGGTCCTCCAGTGATTCTGCCATAAGGACTATATCGTCGGCAAATCGAAGGTGAGTGATGTACTCGCCATTGATATTAATACCGTACCCTTTCCAGTCCAGAAGCTTGAAAACGTCTTCCAATGCAGCGGTGAAGAGTTTCGGGGATATGACGTCACCCTGTCTTACACCTCTCTGCAATTGGATAGGTTTCGTACTCTGGTTCTGTACTCGGATAGCCATCGTAGCTCTACTGTACAAGCACTTCAGCACTTCGATATACCGACAGTCAACTTGGCACCGCTGTAGGGACTGCAGCACCGCCCAAATTTCGACGGAATCAAAGGCTTTCTCATAGTCCACATACGCCAGGCATAGTGGCAAATTGTACTCCTCGGACTTCTGTACAACTTGCCGAAGGGTATGTATGTGGTCTATGGTGCTAAAGCCCTTTCGGAAACCGGCTTGTTCGGGAGGCTGGAAGTCGTCAAGTCTGCGTGCGAGACGATTCGTAATGACTCTCGAAAACAGCACGTAGACGCGGCTCAGAAGGGAAATCGGTCTGTAGTTCTTCAAGAGAGCATTGTCACCTTTTTTGAAGAACAAGACCACCGCATTTCTGCTCCACACCTCCGGTGTAATGCCACCACGGAGGACGGAATTAAAGAGCCTCTGAAGGACTTCCAGTACCGGTTTTCCACCCGCTTTCAGAAGCTCCGCTGTAATTCCATCCTCGCCTGGGGCCTTGCCGTTTTTAAGATGCTGGAGAGCCATCTAATCTCGCTCAGACTGACTTCCGGGATATCTTCGGAATAGTGTCGGATAAGACTCGCTCTTGGGTCGTTACTCACACTTGGGTGTGGCTCCAACGATGACGTGAACAGCTGTCCATAGAACCTCTCAATTTCACTCAAAATCTCAGGTGCCCCGGAAACGATGCTGCCACACTCGGTCTTCAGCTTTGACAGTTGACTCTTTCTGGCAGACAGATCTCTGGCAAAGACTTTGGAGCCTTGGTTCCGCTCGATCGCTTCGTCAATACAAGCTGTATTGAAGTTGCGTAAGTCCCGCCGCATGCATTTGGAGATCTGTCTGTTCAGTTGCCTGTATGCTGTCAAATCTGTTGAAGAATGTATCTTCATCTCCCGTCTAACAGCCATGAGATTAAGAGTGTGATCAGAGAGTTTTTGTGTTCTTCTGCGGTGGGTCTTGTAGAACTTAGCTCGGACCGCATGGACAGTTTCCACGAGCTTGTCATTCATATCGTCCACTTCATTGCAGTCTTCTAGGCACTGAAAACGGTTTTGTAACTCGAGCTGAAAGGTTTCGGGACTTTGGAACAGAGCACGAGGGGGTCTGATACATACGTGGTGATAATTTTTGAATTGATAATTTTTTAAACTAATCGACGTACGACTAGACAAAGACGGGGACATTAGAGGGTTGCTATTAATGTCTTTCCTGACACCGCCGGCCGGCGTATTGCCGCTTGCTTGCGATGACAATGGAGGAATGCCTCCAGGATTCGTCGCCGCTGCCTTCTCACACCAGTGGTCGAATTGACGTCACGATCACTTTCCTGGATATCGTGAATTGGATAACACGAACATTATTCACGTAGTCGCGGATAAGATCAATTACTATTTTCCTAATTTTGATTCTACTGGAAATGTCAGCTCAACGGTCATGAGGATAACTAATGCTTGTATAGCGCACTGTCTAAAAGGCGATTCCCAGCACTAGCTGAGGGAATGGGTAACAAATTATCATGGTTAAATACTTTTACAACTAAATTTTAACCAGTCCTTAAGCTCACGAAGGGTGTATAACGTGGGTATTTTGTACGAAGTATTGGGTACCCTACCTACACCATAGACTTGTATTATCTATATTCTATAGTAATAGACTGGCAGTTCAAAACAAAAACTATGTCACAGTTGTAGTACGCGGTTGCGGGCGAAGGCATTCATTTACAACAGTTACTGTTTTTGGGCAAGTACGAAATTAAGTTATATATTTATCTGAAAAAAAAAATGACTGCGTTTTCTTAGTCACATTATACAAAATCAGTGTTAGATAGTCGAAAACAACGTCCGCGATTTACAGAACAAAGAATCAGTCTTCTCGCCCATTTGCAATCGATCAAAGGAGTTACGGAGAATTGACCGTAATTTAGTGCGCAATATATTAAGACCGCAAAGCCCATCTAGTAGCAAACGTCGAAGTCTTTGACAAACATCAACTATGTGTGGTGATTGTTATTACGGTTAAAGATTGTAAAAAGTGACGAACCATTTTTACCAGCTATTTATCATAGGAGGATCGTTCGAAAAATCTTGTCGATTTTTTATCGACATATTCGTATATTTAAACCAAAAACAAGAGATCACATGGTAATAATACTACATTGAATAAAATTATCCACATATGTGGATTTTGTAAGAAACTAGGTTATTTATCTGAGTATTGTTTTATGAAAAAACGTATAAATTCACTGCGAAATAATAATGTACATAATTATTTGTCGTAAATTAAAATAGAAACCGAAGCACCGCGACATAAATGTTGCCGTCATTCAGGATATACCCATAGACAAATTAATTGATTTTTTCCATTCAGATTACCTGAAATAAAGGGCAGACCTCCATGCTGGCAAAGAATCGATTGCTCTGTACATAATAAAAACCCAACCTTCCTGTGAAGATGCTTGGTAGACAGTAAATAAACTTGTAGCTGAAACAATTTTGTGAAAAATTAATTATATTGATTGATTTGAATTTATATACAGTATACAGGGTATCCCGGTAAATCGTCCAAACAAGGCGGGCAGGTAGTAAAGTAAAATTTTCAAGGGCGACAAATGTACTTACCTAATAAATACATTCAATGTTAAAAAAAACTATCTGCAAATAATTTTGTAATGAAATGCCTACTTTTACACATTAACGGCTATAGCTCAGTAAGTAATGACATTAAGTGCATGGTATGCTACTGTTTTACAATCATCATGATGTAGGCAAACTTTTGAAATGGTTGGCCACGCATATCCCATAATTTTTTTTTCACCACAGGTGCTCAAACTTAGCAGTTAAATAAAGTTAGTATTTTTTATATAGTTGTTGAAAACTTTAAAGGTAATTTAGAAACATCATTATTAGGGAACACATTAAAAAATAAAAATCCGATCTAGGCATTAAACTGCGGACGTGATGTCCAGCAGAAGAATTTTCGGTTTTTTATAAACATGGCGTAGAGCGCGAACCGTTCGGGAATGGAACTTTTTTTAGGGACAGCCACCCCTCCCCCGCCCGAACACGTACGTACCAGATTATCCACCATTACTGGGATACCCAGTATACTTAGTATATAATGTTTACATACCAAATTCTTCAAAACCATTAAAGCCCATTATATACTTAGATAAGTTCAACTTCATACATTTCATCCCTGCTGGGCACTGATAACCTGAGTTTGGTTCAGGTGAACAGAAAGTATCAGGAATTGCTAATGAGTTTATAGTTATTTCACTGAAAAACAAAAGAAAAAAATTGGTTATTGAAAAAAATAATTACCTTAGACGGATGTTACACGCTCATTATGGCGTCAGTTCAATCCATGATTGATGTCAGAATGACGGGAAACTAACCGTATACGCGTAGACTGATGGATTGATGGTCCAGAATGATGCTTATTTAAATATTTTAATAATTTTTGTCAGTCTGGACAGACTGATCCCAGACTATCAGTCTAGCTATCAGTCTGATGTCAGTCACCGATTTGACAGCAATGGAGTCGCACGCGTGTCACCGCGTGCACCGGCTCCCCCGGCACCCCTGATATCCCGTTCTCAATCTTTAGCCCCGGATAAATAATTTATTCCAACTTTTTTTTAACTTTACCCCTACACTAGGATTTTCTCCTTTTTTATAGGATAAGGGTGACAAAGGAGCACACAGTCCACCTGATGGTAAGTGGTTGCTGTGGCCCATAGACATCTACATCTCTCCTCGATTACGAATCAAAATGCAGTACGTTGTCACCCGTCACTTTAGAAGTTTTACCTATTTTTTCTGCCGACTTCCAAAAAGGAGACTGTACTCAATTCGACTGTTTTTTTATGTGTGTTACCTCATAACTTTTTACTGGGTGAACCGATTTCGATGATTCTTTTTTTATTTGAAAGCTGGTACTTCTCGTGTGGTCCCATATGAATTTGATCAAGGTTAGACCAATAGTTTTTGAGTTATTCTTAATAACTTATATTGAAGTCGGCTGTACAAAATTTTTAATTTTAAATTATTGTGATAAAACAAATAACCAACGTGTGAATAAATATAAGAAAAAAAAAGACGCGGCAGAAACTATTAGTAATTTTGAAAAATAAAACCCCAAGCTAATGTAGAAGACGTGAAGAAGAAAATGAATACCCTAAGATTCAACTATCGCCGTGAATTCTTAAATTTTTTCTTTAATTTTTCCTTGTTAAAATCCATACCTAATGCGTATGCGTGTTATCGTATAGAAATTTTTTGGTTAGACTGATCGTCAGCCTGACTTACCGTCTAATACCTCCCGTCAATCCATCATTCAGCCATCAGTCTATACGTGATCAAGGTCACAGAATGAACTGACACCAAACTTAACGTGTAACCTTCGAATTAGAATCTGTTAAAATTAGGCTACTTAACAAAATCTGCTATAATACTGACTGCTAAACCACTATCTACGCCGTAGATAAAAATGTCCTGTCTAAATGAAATCAATATTACATCTTATTCTTTTTTTATAGAATAAGGGTGACTAACAAGCACACAGTCCACACGATGGTAAGTGGTACAACATTTACTATCCATACTAACTGACCCATTAGTGAATGTATGATTATCATTACAGCCCTTCACAAGCCCACTGCTGAACATAGGCCTCCCCCAAGGAATGCCACAAAGCATGGTCCTGAGCCACCTGCATCCATCAACTTCCTGCATATCTTACCAGGTCGTCACTCCGTCTAGTGGGGGGCACGCCCTACACTTCTCCTGCCTGTAAGGTGCTGCCACTCGAGACCTTTGTTACCCATTGGTTGTCGGTTCTTCGAGTTATATGGCCGGCCCATTGCTACTTCAGCTTATTAATCCGTCAGCTATGTCGGTTACTCTGGTCCTACTGCGGATATCCTCATTTTTAAGTCTATCACGCAGTATAAATTAATTATGTAATATTAATAGACTATTTATGTTTGAATAATTTCAAAATTAAACATATTTATTGTAGTAATAAAATAAAAGTTTTGAAGCTATTTATAAAAAGTCATTGTGAAGAAATAGTAACAATTACTACCAACTTTTAATTTATAGACCACTAGCTGTTCCCCACGACTTCGCCCGCGTGGAGTTATTTTTCGCGGAACTCTAAAATAAAAGCAGCCCAAGTTACTCCTTATAACATCAGCTATCCGCCAGTGACAAATATTGACATTAATATTTATACTAACATCACTCAATTGTTTTGCCTTCCCGGAACCCCCCACTAACACTTAAACTTTATGGTATGGTATTAAAGTTCAAATTGACTTTTAAGTATTATTACGAATCTTTTGTATGGGAATATAGAAAAGTGTTGTTTTTAGACTTTTTCAGGCAATTTTTTAAATTTTTCTCTCCGTAAGAACCATCTTCGTACTTCAAGGAATATTATAAAAAAAGAATTAGCGAAATCGGTTCAGCTGCTCTCGAGATTTGCGCTTAGCAACACATTCAACGATTCATTTTTATATTATAGATATAAAGCTCATTTGTATCAATGTTTCAAAACAAACACTTACTTTGGATTTGTATTATTTCTAACACAGTGATGTGTTAACTCTCCAAAAAATTGAACACCCAACAAACTATATAGTGACATGAAGAAAAGAAAAAATAATGTCACATTGTAAATTTGCTGACTTGATCTCCTGTAACAATAAATTAACATATGTGAGTAGTGTTTATTTTACAATCATTTATTAATTTACTAATTAACCAATTTTAATTTAAAATTTAGTCATCATCAATATCAATAACTTGTAACTTTAAAAGATTGGGTGAGTAGATACTAAAATTTTTATTTTTTTCGTATCGGTCCGGAAAAATCGCCGGTGGTAAACAATTCCAAAGAGAAGTTGTGCGAGAAAGAAAATTCCTAGTAAAACGCACAGTGGTGGATCATCCAGATGGTATCGTGAATTTTAAGACGATGTGCGTTCGTGAAATTTGGCAGCTGTAATTAATCCGAACAATTCCTCAGAGCACTACCGGTGGTAGATGCGATAGAAAATGCAAAGGGATGCAACATGTCTACGCAGCGCCAGTGAATCGAGCCGATCAGAAAGAACTCGAACGTTGACGATTCGAACCGATTTGCGCTGAATGCGGTTAAGTGGAAGGAACTGGCACTAGGGTGCCCCGGCCCAGAGATGATAACAGTAGTCCATGTGAGGCCAAACTTGCGCTTTGTAAAGTTGAAACCGATATGCCGGCGTAAAATACTGTCCCGCTCTGCTGATCATGACAAGCTTTTTAGAGGCCTTCTCTTCCAAGTGACCACGAAACTGCACAATATTCGATATGTCGACGCCGAGGATTCCGATGCTAGCTGAAGCAGCAAGAGACGCCTTTAAACTGAGGAGATACGACAAAGAGGTTCTTTTTAGCGGTAAACGCGCAAACTTTTTTCTTCTGGGGATTGAACTGGACAATATTTAGTCGCTCCCAATCCGAGACTTTGTTCAGCAAAGATTCGACTTCAGACACAAGTTTGTCCCGGTACTCGACGACGTTTTCCCGAGAAATATTGGCACGGCCGGTATATAAGGCATCACCAGTGCTGTCGTCTGCATAGCAATGAGTTGTCACTAATCATGAGCTGGCAGTTTATAATGGACTCCATATTTTGGAAAACAAAAAGGTGATGGCGATAGGCCTGTAGTTCGACGGGTAAGAGCGGTCGCCTTTTTTAGAGATCGGGTGAATCAAAGCTGTCTTCCATGAAATCGGGACTGTCTTGGGAGTAACAGTACCGGAAAAGAGAAAGTTAAAACCGGTGCCAACTCTGGAGCACAGGTGTTCAGCACAATAGGATGGACTCCATCAGGCCCACTCGACTTGTTGACGTCCAGGGAGAGGAGTGCTTTGCAAACCGAGCGCTGTGTAAACCGCATATCCGGCATGGAGTACTCACACCGCGGCCTGGTCGGCAGTGTGTTGCCCCGTCATCGAGAGTCGAGTTGGACGCAAAAAAAGAACCTAAATGATCGGATTTCTCCTTTGTCTTTCGAAGAGATGGCTGACAGAAGTTCTCTTGGACTGCCTTGGCAAGAGACCAGAATGCTCGAGTTCCCGAAGGAAGGCGAACTAGCTCCTCGCCAATTCTGCCGATGTGCACTGTCCTTGCCTTGTCAATGACTCTTTTGAAGGACCTGGATGCGGAATCATACTTGTTTAGGCCAAATATTAACATTTTAAAAAACTTGCATTCAAGACGCGCGTCTTGGCGTGTCTTTTTGATGGAATTTAAGGTCACCGCCTGCCCCCTCTCCCGCGCGGGTCTCTCGGTCGACCGCTCGGTCGCCTGTCGGTTTTTAGTAGTTCGCGGCCGCCGTGTCGGTTAGACGGTCTGGAATTGTACGCTCGGAACCGCCTCTGATAGCGTTGTCTTGTTTCGTGCGTTTTACGTGACAACGAGGCTTTGTCTTGAGTTTTGAATTATTAAGTTAACTTCGATTGCCATTAATTGCGTCGACAGACAAGACATTTTGCTTTGTCGGGTGGAACGCTAAAAATTTGTGACTCGAGAGGAGACCGCGTTCATGCTCGATTATAATTTTGTGCTAAGTGAACATGGGACATTGGACTTTGACCGACCGTTCTTAAGTTGTGCAGTGTGTCACTTGTTTTAAAATCGATTAACATTGATTTAGCTAAATTTGAAGTTAATTAATTAAATGTACAATAAAGTTGATAAACTAATATAGTGAAATAAAAGCAGAAGGTTTCAATTGGTGAACGCCCACTGGAGGGATCGCACATTGTGGAGAAAAGCAGCGCCTGTGGGTCTGCTGTCCGATTACATCGGTGACGTCAGGTTACATTTACACACACTTTCGCACACTACTTACATACATCTTACTTATCACCTGACTGCGCCTTGTGGTCGACACTACCTCCGGAACTCGGTAAGTTTGTTTTTGCTTATCAGCCATTAAATAATAATTATCCATAGGCCACTTGGGCCCGAACCCTCTGGTTGCTCGTCGAGTGTATTACTCATGAGCCCTAGTACAGTCGACTTCTGTCGGGCAACTGAGGGTCGTATAATTCTCTGGTAGCAGAGCGTGGTTGATCCAATCACGCCCCGCCGTAATAAAAAAATAAATATTTTTTGTGTTTTGTTAGCGCATCGGTGGTTAGAATTAGAACCACGTCCGTTAGGCTGCGCAAGCAGGAGTGTAGTTTAGGGTTAGGTACCTACGCGTCAGGTATTTCGGGTAGGTAGATTAAATTGCCGAAGGGTCGGTCGCCTGGGCGAGGCATCTTGCTGACCGACTGTAGTGTGTACTTGCCGCGTAGTGTAATTTGAATTTAATTTAATTTAATAGTAATTTGTAATTAGTAGTGATACCATCGCACAAGCCATCGGCGCTTCGCCTGCAGGCGGAGCTGCGCTGGGTCGCGAATGTCCACAAGTTGATAGGGCGACCCGATCGGGTCCATAGTTTAGGGAAGCGGCTCGAGCAGGTCGCTGCCCGAAAGGCCGTAGTGGAGGAGGCTTACACTGAGCTTGTGGCCTCGGATGCGGAACAGGGAGTCCTAGACTCCTGCCTCGCAGACTACGAGCAATTCTTTTCGCTCACGGACGACATGACCGAGGCGGGGGCCAAGTATGCTAATGAAGCGCGTGAAGGTCAGCTGAGTGGCCTGCCCGAGTCCCCTCAGAAGCAGCCTACTCAGCCGGAGCTGGAGACTCCGGACTCCCAACTCTGGACCTGCCAAGGTTCTCCGGGGTCCTTTCCGACTGGATGACCTTTGTTGGCCGTTTTGATAGCCTAGTGGACGCCCGGAGGGCCTTGACACCAAGCCAGAAGATGGCGTACCTCCTGGCCTCACTGGAGGGGGAGGCCCTGGGCATCGTCGGCCATTTGAGATTGTCGGACGACGCCTACCAGACTGCCCGGGACCTTCTCGCCGGAAGATACGCCAACGTCCGGCGAATCACGGATGAATACGTTAGGCAGTTTCTAAACCTCCCGCTGCTTAGGGACCGGGCCAGACTACGTCTTGACATCGTAAATCCAGTCGTGGTGGCCTGTAATTCGTTGAAGCGGCTGGATTTACCGGTGGACGAATGGTCCTTATTGTTGCTCCACATCGTACTGTCCCGCCTGCCTCTCGACCTTCGGATACATTTTGAGGAGAGGTACGGCAGGGACGGCGCCTCCTATGTTCCGCCCTTCAGGGACCTACTGCGGTTCTTGGAGCAGTGCCGGCAAATTGAGAACGCAGCGGGCACCGTCGACGACTTACGGGTTGCCAAACGAGCCGTGCCCAGGGAGAGGCGGAATCCGCCGGGCAAATCGGTGCCAACCCCCCTAATGCCGAGCGGAGCTCCCGCGGGAGGGCGCCGCCCCCTACCATCTTATAGCGGCCTAGCGGCTACGGAGGCGCCCCCCTGCTCCTATTCGAGCATCCGATCACCGGGTGACGTCGTGCCCGAAGTTATTGGGTAAGCCGGTCCCGGCGAGGCGAACTATCGCCAAGGAGCGCCGCTGGTGCTACTCGTGCTTGGAAAGGCACCTCCAACGAGACTGCCCGCACCAGCGGCGCTGTCCGCACTGCCAGGGCAACCACTATGCAGTTTTGTCTCTGGGTGAGAACAGCGCTTCCTCTCGGGGCTCTGCCGGGCCCTCAACTCACACGGGCGGGGGCGCTCAGCCACGCCCCCTGACGGGCGACGCTCGGCGCTTGTCTGCCGGCCACCGTGCCCCTGGTTTTGAAGGATGTCCCTCCCACGACCAGTCGGGAGGTCGTTCCCCCAGGGGCAGATGGTCGTCGTCCCCCCGCCCCCGCGAGAGGAACTTCACGGCCACCCAGCGCTTGCCCCAAGCAATTTTAGTTTTAGCAACATGATGTATTTTTTGTGCTTCCACTCATTTTTATATACCTTGTATGAATGTGTAATATTTTACAGAATTCAAATTGATTTCATATTATAATCATTCTTCCTTAGAATTCAAGAGTTATGCTTATGACTATACCTCTCTGAGTGAGAATAATTACGATTGATCCGATTGATTTAAGGAGCGCAATGAACTATTGAACTATTTCAAATGTAACTAGTTTTCTTTGTGGAACAAGATTTGGTTAATGATTTCATTACAATGAATGAGTTTTTCCAAGCATGCTGATAGATTAATATATACACATGCTACCTGCACAAAGGAAATTCTCAGAGTAAGGAAATTATTATAGCAGTGTATGCACATTCCTATTGTATATTGAATTTTTGTTTGCACAACATTATCACACAAATTTCTATTTTATTATTTGCCTCTGTCACTCCCCATTATCTAGCCACATATTCTTATGTTTCTTATATGGCTTGACAATGTTGTGTTTCAGAATATTCTACAATTTGTGTTTCACAGAACATTCCACATTGGTACAAAATAGAATAAAATAATTTTTTATTCAAGGATTAGAAATAATTTATTAATAAAAAATTGAAATAAGCCATTTCTTACTTTTACCACTTATTTAGAAAAAAAAACTCTAATCCTTATCTTCTTTAAACTTCTATTCCTTTTTAAGGCATATGCTGCAAGGCTAAGTTGGATGCTACTTTAGTTATATGGAGGCCCCACTGAAGCTTTGCGTAGAGTGACGCCGAAAAAAACAGTGGAATTGACATGACTCAGTTCTTCCCTATTTAACCCTAGATACCTAACGTTTGCCTGCCCCCTACAAACCCTAACCATTCGTCGATTCGACGAATACTTTTTAGGGTGTTTTAATTTCAAGTTATAATGTAACTTTTTGTTATATGTATTGCACATATACTTGGTCCAATTATTATTCTACAAAATGAAACAATGAATTTCTGTATTATTACTAATTATATTTATTTTATCACTTTTATAGAAAGGCACTAGCTTTTATGGGATCACTGAAGACAACATATTTATAAAAATTAAAATAAAAAAAACAACAAGAAATAGCCTTTTTCTTCTTTGGCGTACCTAAATTATAACATCATAAATTATTTAGAAAAATAGAAAAAAGCTAATTTTTTAGAGCGCATTTTGAACAAAAATCAACCTTATGTTTCCCACATATTGCTGAATTACATTTAGCGCATGATGACTTTGTCATGCGCCTTTTGGTATATGAACATAGACCACAGATTTTTCTTTTTCTACTATTTGGTGCTTCTGTTGGTTGAAGGACGTTGCTGGATTGTGGCTGACTCTGACCTTGACCTTCATCGTGCCCTGAACCTAATATATTTCTGATTTTATTCTTGATATGCGTCAGCATGGTACAAATTTCCAGTCGGATTTTCAGCCATGGTTCGACAGTTCATTCGTTTTTGACCCTGTACAGAAGCATTGTGGCAGTAAATTATGTAACTATTGATACATGCTATATTCATCATTCCATTGAAGACGCATATTGGCAAACAATTAGTTTTTCTGCTGCATGACATTATTGAGCACATTTGGTCAAATGTGTCTACACCACCTTTTGTCTTATTATAGAATTCAATCAAGCGTGGCTTTTTTGTTTCTGGATTGACTGAGGCCTCCTCATCACAAGAGGAAAGCATGTAAACCATTTTCGAAGGTTTAGGTTTGTACGAAAGAAGTGTAATGGGTCCATCATACACGAACATTGACGTATTGACCCTTCTGGTTCCATTACTCGTTCTGTGGTTCTTTAATTCATCCGGGATTTCTCTTTTATTAGTTTGTAATGTCCCCACAATTGTTAATTTGTAAGGTTGTCGAAGTAACTGTTTTGCAAATGGTACTGAGGTGAACCAGTTATCCATGGTAATGTTTCCGTTCGTACCGTGTATACTGCGAGTATACAGTTCCTTTACAAAGTACTCTCCTAAAGATAAACCACTTGTATAGGTTCCTTTTCCAAGATACGGCATACAGTCCAGCATATACCTTGTGCCACTGTCACACATGATTTCTAACTTGACTCCATACTTAGCGGGTTTATTCGGAATATACATCCGGAATTTGCACCTTCCTCGGAATGCCAGCAGCTGCTCATCTATGGTAACATTTGTTCCAGGAACATAATTTTGACGGCACTGAACCATAAACAATTCCCATATATCTCTTATGGGCGTAAAGGGATCGTCTTTTTGCCGTTGTAAGCGAAATGTTTTATCGTCGAAATGTAGACATTGCAGAAGGAAATCGCACCTCTCTTTACTCATACACGATACATATCTTGTACCAGAATATTCTGTATTGAACAGTTCATCAAGAGTCAGATGATTGTCTTTCAGAGCTGCACTTAACACCAGGATACCCAATAGAGCTCAGATCTCCTCTTTGCCAGAGTCACTTTGCGTAGAAGTTATTTGCGCATGGGTCTGTTTTCTTATCGCAATCTCTGTGTTTGTCCATTTTACAACCTCATCTATTATCTGGTCAGTCTTGAACCAATCAAATAACGATACTGGATCGACAATATCCTTTAGTACGCGAGTAGGTCCCCTGGCAATATGTACAATATTTATTGCTGCTGTTCTGTTGGAAGAACGCCCTTTGTTAGTTGCCCAAACATGGCGAGACCGACTGCGGACTGTGCTTGTTGAGAAGGACAATATACTTGGATTATTACCTGAACTCACTTCTGGAGGTGGATGAGGTGTTTGTGGTTCCAGCACATCATCCACCGAAGCAGGAGAAATCTGCTCTTGAACAACTTCATCGTTGGAAGAACCAGAAGACTCTTCTGTCTGATTATCACTTTCAACAGCATCCACCTACAGGTTATCTTCAGTTTCGCTATAAGATAATTATTCCGAAGCACTGAAATCTTCCTCTTCTAATAACAAACGCACTATATGTTCATCAGGTAGCAATTGTCTTGAAGACATGATAAAAACTGCAAGAAAACAAAAATAAAATTAGTTGCGAAAGTATACACAAAACCTAACCATTCGTCGAAAGGACGAGCACTATCGTAATATCTCGAAAAATATTGTACTTACCCGCTGGACTCGAACGCTTCCCGGAAGAGCTTGGCAAACACTGAATTGACGGGAAACGTTACTAGGCTCGACCGGGAAAGGACCACGCTCTCACAGAATACCAGCTTATGCTTATGCGCTTGCTGTAAATTTCACAGTATGCAAGAAACCCGGGTTTGATCCCAGCTGACACCAATGAAATTGTTATCATTAAAATTATAGAATCAATATAAATTGTAGGATTTTAAAAGTGTAGTGTTTCAACTTTCTTACTAATTCAAACATTTATGATAATAAATTTTACCATACTTACTTAAAAATTTGGTTAATTCTTGATTTTGGCATTGAGAATTTCAGAAATACTCGTAGGAATCTAATCATTATTAATGGTCTTGGAGCTCTAAGTATACTCAGATAACTATATCTTGGCACGATTCCTGTCAATTCAAACATTTGTAACAGCACTGACACCCAGAGGAAAAACACCATAGAAGCATCAAATTGGCACCAATGATCCTTTAAGTATGCAACATCACCCTATAAAATAATAACTGTTAAAACTGACAGGATATAAATATTTAAAATTGAAATAAAATAAAAAATTTAAATACCCGCAAGATTCCTCTGATGTGCATTTTTGCAATCATTTCCGCTGTGAAAAGTAATGTAACACAACAGTCAACCACAAATGTTGTGATCTGAAGGTATGGATATTTCTCGAATGATTTTGGAGTATTAAGGGAAACTGACATTAAACTTAAAAGTGCACAAAATCTTAATATTCGCCTGACCCATAACTGAAACAATAATACATGGTTACTAATAAAATTATAGATGTATTTTTTAATTATTTACTTAAAAATGCATTGTTTACCTTATTCACCCATTCTATATCAGCACTTTCATTTAGTGATTCTTCTGGGCCATAGTCTGCAAGTATTGGTTCACCTTTCAAACTTTGTTTCCGTCCCAACATTTTGATACGATTGAAAATAATTTTTAAGAAATTAAGTAATATTTATTAAATTAGAATCATTTTATCTCTTTAGGTACGCATATCGTTAAAATTTAAGTGTATTTATCAAGTATTTATCATATATAGTAATTATCTTGGTCTTTGACATCTGACATCTTGGACAAATTATTTATTTTGTTATTTATTTTATATACAATATACCTACATACACATATACTTTTATTAACATTTTGGCTTGGATGCTTGTCTTTTAAACAGCCATATCTTCCTTTCATTCGGAATCTTCGTTTTTATAGATTTTCAGTATAAAGTGATAATAATATTTTATAGTACACTGCTACACAGTATGTTATTGCGTTACATTGCGTAGTTTTTGGGAAATTATGACGGGCATTTAAGACAACAGTTGGTGATAGTATCTTAAGGCTCTTAAGCAGACAGACACCTTATCTTGAGATTCACATCACCATCGGAGCACTTGTTTCACCGTTTCCACTAATAGTTCACAAGAGCAGACATTTTAATACACAAAATCGTACTACTTTTATATATAAAAATTCACTTCAAACCCATCGATCACTAATAAAAAACTAGATGCACAATCAGTGACAAGAAATGGCATAATCGAATGTGCACCCACTCGAACATATGGGTGCACTTTTAATCTAGTAGCATTCGAATGCTCCGATGGTAAACATGCCTCAGTGCTCGTTTAAAAAGTGTAAAAATCACAATCCAGGACGCTAAAAAAGGATTGAATTTCATATTTTCGGTAAGTATTAATATTAACATTATTTAATTGTTATAACTATATTGTAAATACTGATATTTTGTCAAGAAATCATCGTAAAAGTATTTTTTAAATTATGTCGTAATAAAATAAGTAGTCATTGTTCGAGGTATATGCTTTGATTCTGTTCAATTTGTGGAAACGCAATTTTTTTTTAATTTTTTTTATTATTAAAGTATGATCTTTTTTTTTTGTTTAATGAGAGTTCTTTACTGTTTCTCTAAATATTATAGTACTCGAAACGTCGGGAATATAAAATAAGTTAATATACGCGATAAAATCCGTAAAACTAGTTTCATTCAAATATGTAGTGAACGCGTAAATATAAATCATTATAATTATTCAGTGTTATCCCTTTTTTTAAACATCTGTAAATATGAACATTACGTCAACATTTGGACAATGGTATTCTTACATTTTGCAAGAACTTTCTGTACTTATTTTTTATACTTAGTAACTATTATATTTCGATTTAACTTGTTTGTCAAGCAATATCTTTAAATTTTTCATACAAGATAAAGAATAAAGAAATAATTATGACTGTTTCAATTACTTTCATTGCTAAATGAATCTGGTGCCCCATCCATAAGCATATTTACATTCAGGCAATAATATAACCATTACACATATACACCATAGAATAGAATAGAATATTCTTTATTAAGTAGACCAATTATTTAAAACAAGTTTAAAAAAATTGTAAAATAAAAATTACAGTTACAAAAAATATTGTGCAGTTCAACTCCACTCTCCTTGTCCAAGCGACGAGCCTCGGTCGTAAAATTTTATTGCTTTTTGTACGTTGCTTTGTCAATACAACTTTAGGGATGTCACTTAAGGTTAAATTTAAATTAATGTATATTTATATCAACTAGAATTACGTCAAAACATTTGGCGACAGTTTTTAGAGAACTTTTGTATGGGATTGTGCATCTAGTTTATTATTAGTGATCGATGTTCAAACCATTATATAAACAATAACACAGGAGCAGCAATCCACCGCCGGTCAAGCTCCCGCCAAAACTCTTATTTTATACATAGAATAAATATGTAACAAGCTAATTTTATAAAAAGGTATTGTAGAGATAGTTACTAGAAATTGCGGGGAGTTTCTGTATGACCATTGTATGTAGCTCCTCACATTGAAATAAGAAGATTTCTTAGACTTGAAACATTTAATCTTCTATATCATAAAATATACTTATTACGAAAAACTAGTCTTACATTTTTCTTGTTATTTTTTTGTAACCATGACAACAACTTACAAGATATAAAAAAACCTAAAAGGGCCGTAGACCATATTTATTTATCCTCAACACACTCCAGACCCGAAAGAAAATGGTAACCAATTAACGCAACTCAACATACTAAGGAAAACCATAAAACCAAATGTAATTCATAAGTACCGAGCAGGCAATTTCACATTTCGACCGCACCGCGTTGTTTTCGTCACCTTCGCGCCACCTGTAACCGAGGAGGGTAAGTCAGGACTATCTGAACTTACTGATAACTTCTCATCCTCTATCGTTACTTCAGCTCGTTTCAAGAGGTCAGAATCATTTGAAATCTCAAGCGGATACAATCTCTGACATGGTCTTAAAGTTTCACCTTTTTGAGTCTTGACTCTAGCCAAACGAGTAACACCATCAGCCCCGGTAACTACTTCCATGATTAACCCCAAGGGCCAAAATAGCCTTTTCGCGTCTGTCTCTACTAGAACTATATCTCCTTTCTTCATTTCTATTGTCTTCTCCTTCCATCTAGCTGTAAGTAAAGCCAAATACTCCTTACGAAATCGAACTCTGAAATCTTCTCTCAACTTTTGTAAATATTTGTATCTTACATTTAAATTCATACTATCTACATAATCTAAATCAGAAGTATCATTAGAAGGTAAGCCATGTAGAAATAACATAGGCGTAAGTGGCCGCAAATCGTCGGTACAAGTCGAGACATATGTTAGTGGCCGACTATTAATGACAGCTTCACAATCGCACAAGACTGTGTCCAACTCTACCCAAGTCAATCGCTGACGCCCCAATATTCTTCGCAACATCTCCTTTAATACTCTAATGAGCCTCTCCCACCAACCTCCTCACCAAGGAGTTCTAGGTGGAATAAAACGCCACTTTATAGCATGGACTGCCGTCACACTTTCAACCTCCTGCCAATTAATATCCTTCAGTAAATTGGCAGTCCCTCGAAAATTTGTTCCGTTGTCCGTGAAAATGACGTCGATACGACCTCTTCGAGCAATAAATCTACGAAGACTCATAATAAAACTATTTGTGGACAATGAGTCTACCATCTCAAAATGCACAGCCCTAAATGTCGCGCAAGTAAATAAAACCACCCAACATTTCTCTTGATTACGTAAATACAACGGCCCGGCCAGATCTATACCTGTCATTTGAAACGCTGCCGTGCCTTGAATCCGTTCAAGAGGGAGTGGTGTCTCCGGTGTATCATAATGTATGCCCTTTTGCCTACGACAAATTATGCATTTCTTAACTATATCCTTACATAGCCATCTCACACTTGTAATCCAGAATCTGTTTCTCAGCTCTGACATTAAAGTATGTGATCCAATGTGCTTTAAGTATATATGTTTCTTTTCAACGAGTCGCCTCACAATGACATTTTTCCCTGGTAATAATATGGGACTCGAAAAATCTTTATCATAATTTCCTAAACCTAATCTAGTCTTTACTCCCATAATACTATTACTATCTAAATGTATGCACAGTTTCTTATTCAATTTAGTTCTATTTACATAATGTTCACCCTGAATAAGTCTTATAAGTATATTCTCAGCTTCTTCGAATTCATCATTGCTTATATAAGCTATACTAAACATTCGTCGCCTTCTCCATCGGAATATCCAAGCTACTACTTACACGTACAATTCTTGAATACTTAGAAAAGTATAAAAGCTTCTCGCTAAAATGTTCAGTGTCTACATTAGTATTTACAAGTACCTCCTTCTTTGCTTCTATGGAAACAGCGTTCTCATCTACTGCGATGTGATTAGACTGAGGCCACAGTTCTTGGTCAGATAATAGCCAAGCAGGGCCATCCCACCAGTGACTGTCCATTAATGTCTTCATATTACAGCCACGTGACAGTAGGTCTGCCGGATTGCAGTGGCCCGGTACGTGCCGCCAATGTTCCTTCTTAGTGTGAGCACAAATTTCACTTACCCTATTGCTCACAAACGGCTTCCAAGAACACTGTCTTTGGATCCAGGCTAACACAACCGCGGAGTCTGTCCAACAATATAACGGGCAGGTGTCGTCGGTAAACAACATTCTACTTATCTCATTTGCAAGCCGCGATGCAATAAGCGCTCCCATTAGCTCCAATCTAGGTACAGTTATTGATCTTTTAATTGGCGCTACTCTACTTTTGGCCATAACCAACCTAATCGTAACTTGATTTTTGCATTCGGTCCGAAGAAAGACACAACCTGCACAAGCATTAATAGATGCGTCACGTCCTCTGATAAGCGTCTCGGCAACTTGCAATCATTTATCAGATGAACATGATTTAGCCAACTCTTAAATTCCTTCGATATTTCGTTGCTGATAGCTTGATCCCAACCTGTACTATCTATCCAAGCCTTTTGTACTATTAGTTTAGGCACTAGGGTAACAGGTGCAAGAAATCCAATAGGGTCAAATATCTGCTGACTTAATGACAAAAGATCTCTCTTCGTGACCCGATCTGGTATAGTGCTACTAAGACGGAAACTACACTGTAATTCGTCCGTAAGAGTATTCCATAGCACTCCTAATACAGATTGAGTCTGGACAGTGTTATCTACTCTAATAGGAGCGGTAACCCAACATCGTAAATCAAAACCCCCCTTTAGCATAACTTCCTTAGCTTCGTCTATAAAAGTAAATAAAGCCTCTTTTGTATCAAAACTAGCTACACAATTATCAACATAAAAGGAGTGTTTCAAAATTTCAACTGTCTGACCGTACATTCCTTCAAAATTGCCTAAGTGATAATTAATCGTAGCCGCCAAGAGAAACGGACTACAAGTCACCCCAAATACTACTCTCTTATGTCTGAAAGTGACTATCTTCTCTTTGGTCAACGGATTCTCCCACCACAGAAACTTTAAATACTCTCTATCTTTCACTGAAACTAAAATTTGCAGAAAGGCTTGCTTTATATCCAACGTGACGCCGTACGTACCTCTCCTAAAGTTCATCAATAATTTAGGGATTAGTTCTATAAGATTGGTACCCGATTCGATGCAGTTATTCAAAGACAATCCTTGCGCATCTTTACACGATGCGTCGAATACTGGACGTATCTTCGTTGTAGTCCTAGACATCTTAATGACTGCGTGATGAGGAA